TTTAAAAAAAAATCTCCCTACATTCTTCATCTACAGTAAGGTTCTGTCTACAAAGCATTTTTTGGCATGCAGTTTATTTTAAAGATACTAGCTTCCTGCTGGTACTACAAGTGCTCCCCAAACGCACCATACTTAAGAAGAGCATGTTGTTATTGAAAACCTAGTTACCTGTACCGGTAATCATATTCTTCATATCTGTCATATCCTCTGTCGTACCCTCTGTCATAATAGGAATCGCGACGCCGACCTGCTCCTCCACCACCGCCACCTCCACTGCTAGTTAAAACCAAACAAACACACACACAGGTACAATGCAAGTATAATAGTCTGCTTCTCTTACAAATGATAACTCTGAAAGTCAAAACATTTTCTTCAGTGGCAATCCTTCCCCAAATAGTCTGTCAGACTCAATAACCCAACTTTTCTGTTGGGCTTAGGAACACACATTAAGGCTCAGAACCACAATGGTATTAGGTATCTAACTCTCTCTTACTGATTGAATAGGGTTCAAGAGTTGGGATGGATAAAGGATATTTTGCAGTTTATTTTAAGTATTTTTCAGGTGGCATTATGAGACTTTTGGAAAAATCCACATAATACTAGTTATACTAGAGAAGGACTTAAGTCTCTTAAGAGTAATTTAGAAGACACAGCTGTAACTAAACCAAACCAATTAACTAATCAACCAACAGACAGATTCCCTTCTAGTAAAAAAGGCTGCTGAGTATCCACAGTTTAACTCCACCCGCTGTAGTTAAGATACTCACTCCACTCCGATCTGATGCCATTTACATAACAAGACTCAATTCCTTACTGTGTGGGTCTGCCCATGTAGATCCCCGGGGTGGGCGTGTGCGCTCGCTTGGTGATGGAGTAATCCACGCGGATCCTGCGGCCATCCAGCTCCATGCCGTTCGCATGCTCCATCGCCTGCAAGGGAGACGGGCACGTTACCGACCCGAGCTGCAGCGCGGGGATCGCGACCGGGAACCGCGGCCAACACATCC